AAGGGACTTGACCAATCACACTAAGCCTAAAAGGTAGGCAACTCTTGCCGATCACAACTCCTTGTGATTCTCGTCCTGTTCAGCCTCCGAATCACCATGGTCTCGAGGGACTCAACCAACTATGATGCTCGGTTAAGTTAACACCTTCGTTACAAGATGAGTCTGATTTGATGATATGCCCTCAAGGGACTCGACCAAGCATACCATGTCCTCAGGTCACCGATGACATCTCTATATCATAAGTAAGATAGCGAATCACGATATAAGTGAGTCTCGAGGGACTCGACCAACTCAACTTATACCGGGAATTTAGTTTGGGATTCTTGGTTAGTTTAATTTATGTCATCTCTTTCTTTTTATCTATAAATTCCATCTCTTTAAGATTTTGATTCACTTTTATTCTTAAGAGTAAATTTAGTTTGTAATACTTACTCTATAAATTTTTCTTCTTCTATTTTTGTAAGCCTTTGTTTATGAATTTGGAGAGAACACATTAGTTATTTAAAAGATATTTGTTTCAAATATTAGACTCTTCATTTGTTAGAACAATAAAATCAGACTTTAGATCTAGAGATCTTAAAATTTTCTTTATCACTCTTTGATCACTTATTTATTTACCATTTCTTATCATTTGATGAATAATAAAAATGATGAAATAGATTTATAAGTACTATTTTGTAATTTTTCAAAGTAAAACTTGTAAGCGAATCTTTTTATCTTATCCACATTGTTGAATGCTATTTGAAGTATTTTCCAAGCCTCTTTTGATGTCTTTACTAGAGTGATAATCTCAAACATTTTATCATCAATTCCTTAGTAAATTATGAACAAAAATTTTTTCTTCTTTTTCTTTTGATCTTTTAGTTATTTTTTTGTTTCTCTATCCATTGCTCCTTCTTCTAGTCTTTGTTTAATAAATCTATATTCTATAAACACTTACATATCTTGGGAGCCTAGAAGAACTTTCATTTGGATGCACCATATATTGTAATTCTCTTTGGTTAATTTAAGGATTTGAAGTTAGAATAGAGGAATAGGCCATGGTTTAACTTAGCTATGATATAAAATGTTGAATGGATAGGAAGAAGAGATAGAACTATGACACAAGTGAACAATAAGGATAATGTAAAGTAAGAATATTACACTCAAAGTGTTCTTACTACAACTCCAGCTCTATGACCTTCATAATAATCAAACACCTGAGGTTAATATAATCTTCATAGATACCTCACATTTATTATATTTAATATGATTTTTTTTCAGAGATTCTCTTTAATTTTTAAGAATCAATAGTTAATTTGATTTATTTTTTTATAGGTCTATGATGCAATTCACCTCTTGATAGAAAATATGTTCCACCGGGCATAAGAAACCCATGTTATATATGTATGTAAAGAGATTTAATGAGTGCTAGCTGAGGAGCTTCTGTGTGTGTGTCCACTACTTTGCACGTTGATAAGCAATCTGAGATTTCAAGTCCAGAATCTGACGAAATATTTTGACAGTAAGAATGACAAGTTATCATTTGGTGTACTATTATTCTGTCTCAGATAAAGCCATCAAAACTAATGCCTGTGAGAAATGTGTCTGAAAGTGATATTGTAAGACATAGTACAAGCAATCCTGTAAGGAATGGCTGCCTCAGTCTGCATCATATTTCCCAGAGTAAATGCTTATTCGACTGCAGCATTGGTATGAAGCGCACTCGTTTGTGCTGCAGCTAGGACAGAAGCTCAGGAAGCACAAGATTTGAAGGAACTGATGTATGTATTGTTACACAAAGATTGGTCATGTCATAATCTATTGGCTTTTGCAATCATTAGGTGACAGTTATCTGCAGGGCATGAAGACACAAACTGTGGAGACAAGATTGAATCACTGGTTCTGAGCCCTTGCTCCTATTTAAACCAGTGATCATAAAAAAGGAAGAGAGTTTTAGGCATTAGGATGAAGCATATTGGACAAACTCTTCCAACACAAAATGGAATCATGTTGGACTATGATGTCTAATCTTTTTGCCATTCTTATGAATCCTGAGTTGTGAAGTGATCATTGCCAGGCGTTTGAAGACCCCAGTGCCATGATAGATGCTCTGCTAAGAGACAAGCCAGTGTTACCTCCTGTTCACACTAGGAATATTTGGAGGATTTTGGAAGTGCATGGTTGAGGGCAAAAAGAACCTAATGAGCAGTGATTTAGAAGAATATTTTGTGCAGCTTGGTGTCATATGATGTATCGTGTTGCAAGTAGGGACAGAGATCCATGACATCAAGATGGAAAGACTGAAGAGATTGAGTGGGTTGAAACCTGTTTAGTAGGTACGAAAAGTCTAACAAGACACAAGGATTATAATGGATAATGGTCATCAGATTGTTAACTTTGTGACGCGGGTGGTTTCGAAGAAATGAGGCAAGTAAAAGACCACAAGGCAGATATAGCAGCAATATGATGATTCTACACTCTGACATGCTCGACATGCGCTTGCATGCCAGTTTGAATCCACGATGCAGTAAGAGTGTTTTGTTGTCCATGATTGGGACTATAGATTCCCCATTACAAGCAGCTAAAACCATCACTTGTTTGAATGCCTGTAAAGGGGGAACTGACTGCACGGGTATGTATATTTACAACCTATTGTCCAAACCTGCAAAGCTACCTACAGATTATTTGTCTGCAGATGGTCTTGTAGGAAGGTGTTAAAACCTGATCAAACCTGTGCTTTGAACTCGCTCCATGCAGCCTCAGGTTACAAGCAGCCAAAATGCTTCTTATATTTGCAAACACTTGCAGCTGCAGGATGTAAAAGGCAAATGCACTACAGGTAGAAGAAGGAAGAAACAGCCAAACACTCATGCTATACTGCTTTTTTTGCTCAGTATGTGAACTCCAATCGGGACTCGCAACATTACAAGCTTGCAATGTGTCGGACCTCCATCACGTGGTATTCCGAGGTCCACCTTGTTTGTCTTCTTCAGTGGTCGATGGCCAGCCACCCTCTTGGAGTTAACTCCGGAGTGTGGCCTTTTCTGTCTTTGAGAAATGTATGCTTGGATTCAGTGGCAAACCATGACATATCCAATGCAACGTTTGAAGGGAAGAAGCGGAACAGTAAATTTTAACTCATGTCACTGCTTGGCAAATTGCTTGAGCAACTCGAGGTGATACTTCAAGCCCAGACTTGTATTAGTTTTGCTGATTTCTGCTGTATCTTATAGTAACAGGCAGATGATTACTTCTTTTAGGAAAGGGCACAGGGAGAAAAGAATGAAAGCATCTCCAACACCACCCACCCAACAAGGGCAGCAACCTAACATGCATTCGATGAAAGAGATGTAATGAAGTAATGAACCCTACTGAGGCATGACAGATGTATAGCTGAGACTCGCATCCCTGCATGATCCTGTTGTAAAGGGAAGAAAAAGTGCTCATCATAGCACCACAAGAAATCCCTTTGTAATGGCAACTACTCTTCAGTGTCGTGTATTCAATACAAGTACTGATGCCCTCCAACCTGTGTTAATTTATTGTACAGGCGAGTAGTGTCCCCACGAGTTCTCCTCCTCTTTCCCTCCCTCTTTGGCTTCAAACCCCCCAAACCTAATCTCCCATGGTGTTTGTTATAAAGCCTGAGCAACAGCCACAAGCTCTTCTCAATTCAAAACCTCATCTCAAGTTCCCCTCTCCGATCCTTTTCCGAGTCCAAAAAAAGGAGTCCGTATGGGTAAGAAGCTACACTTGACGTCCCTCTTCTATAGGATGGCAGGAAGTAGGCCTTCCTCTTCTCCTCCTCCTTCATGGCCGTGGCCTTCCTGCAAGCACCCGAAGACCCACTCCTTCAGGAAGGAAGGTGAAGTCTACGTCGACTTCATATCAGCTCCAGCACCGGAGAGCTTCTCCACGGTGTTGGAGGCTTCAGCCAGCGATGCGATCGAGGCGATGATTCATGGACTAAGGTCCGACCGGCTTTTCTTCGAGCCGGCGGGCGCAACCAGCTCGATAGTGGAGGCCGAGACGCGCAATGCCGGGAGTACTACTACTCCGTTGGAGGGCAGCATAGCCATGGCAGTGGATTCAATAGACCCTTATCTGGACTTTAAGCTGTCCATGAAGGAGATGGTGGTGGCTCACGGGGTGATGGACTGGGAGTGGCTTGAGGAGATGCTGGTTTGGTACTTGAACATGAACGGGAAGAGGATCCATTGTGTCATCGTTGGTGCCTTCGTGGATTTGCTTCTGAGTCTTGCTTCTTCGTCGCCTCCTCCTCCTCATTCCTCTTCTCCCTCTTCCATCTTTGAGATGGAGGATGAGGATGTCTCATGCTAAATAGAAAACAGTGCTATGTTCTTGTTCATAGTAAACACTGACTGCTGCATTATGTCATGTCATGCACATGAACGAAGCGTGGCATAGAACTACTATGAAATGATAGTGAGTTGGTCTTAGTAGTGATCTTTTCTGATAGCAGTGTCTGCAGTTGGTGTAATGAGGATATGCATTTAATATGTAATCAACGTGTTCTTGGTCAACCCTGGCTTCTCGTGAAAAGAGTTTCAGATAGCAACTATGTGCATTGCATCTTGGTCAACCCTGGCTTCTCCATTAATGTGAAAAGAGTTTCAGATAGCAACTATGAGCATCGCAATTCCATTGCAAACATATATTTGGAATCTGAAAAAATTAGAACAATAAATTAGCTTAAAATGGAGTAACAATTAAGAAAAAAGAAAAGCAAAGAGACAATTATGTCATCTGATAGCACCTAAGATTTCTCTAATCGCACGAAGAAATCTCATTGTTCTATCGAGGAAAATACTATTCTATTCTGTTGAGGGAAATCCTTTCTCCTAATCTGTATAAATAGGATAGCATTTTTATTTCTTCAATAAAGCTTCTTCAATCATTGTTTTTATCTTCTATTATTTTCATCATGGTATCAAAGTAGTGAGAAAAGCAGCCAACGACCAATGTTGAGAAAAGCAAAGCTTCGCCCTTGTCTTCGGCCAGCGACTAACGCTGCTGCAGCCACATTCCTAAGAGGCTCCACGACCAATTCTCATCTTCCTCACCACGGTAGCCTTTACTATCTTCGCTGATCTGCCAACAGTCGGTGGACTTAAGGAGAACGAAGGGCGGACTTAAGGAGAACGAAGGGAATGCCTGTGCCCTCACAGCAACAGCAACCGCAACAATAGCAGCGATCTGATCTTGCCCTACTCACGAAGTCTCTCGCTTGTAAACCATTCTTTGCATCGATCCAAGATTGGTATCCTTATCAGGAGCACCATCTTGCGGGGGCATGATAGTGTAGCTCCGTCGCATCCTACTCCACCTCACACAACACCCTTTGGAAGAGCTCGACATTGCAGGGGAGCTTGAGCGGCCCAGCGACAACATACCCAAACTCCTTTGCCTCGATGAGCAGCATTTGGAACAATGGGTCAACTGGTTGACACACTTGGTGTGGACCACGAACCGCTCCCTCTCTAACATGCACCATGGCATCTATAGCTACTGACCCTCCTCACTGACTCCCTAAAGCCGTAGCCTCAATACTATACAGATCTGCAGGTCTCTCAAGAACTATAGATCTCTCACAGATCTGCAACAAGAACTGCAGATTGGCAAGAACTATAGATCTCTCATAGATCTACTGTTAGGATCAAGAGCGGCATTAAGAGGGGGGGGCGTGAATTAGTGCAGTAGAAAATTCTTCGATTTCGTAAAATATTCATTTTGATTCAAATCGTTTCGGAAAGATGTTGAACTTAAAAATTTCGTAAGAATGTGAGAAGCTCAAGGAGGTTTGCAGTAAAATAAATTACACATAAGGAAAAGCAAACCAGAATTTAGAGTGGTTCGGTCAATTAGACCTACATCCACTTCAGATTCCTCCTCCGTCGAGGTCACCAGCATCCACTAAAGGCATTCCTTCAATAGGTGAAGACCAACCACCTTTTACAGCGCTTTCTCCTTTTCACGGGCTTAGGAGATAACCCTTACAAGTCTCACACCTCTCTTAAATGATCTCAACACTTAGAAAGGGAGGAGGAGGACTCTAGCACTCTTTACAACACTTTAAGACTCAAGAATTCAATATTATGCCAATGCTTTTGTGCCCTTATATGCAGAAAAGAGTAGGGTATTTATAGGCCCCAATTGGCTTCAGAATTGGAGCCAAAAAGTGTCTTATCCCGGATTTTCGGGGTACTGGTGGTACCACCACCATTATTGGGCGGTACCACCGCTTGACACTTGACACTGGGTAGTACCATCGCTTGACACTTGACACTGGGTAGTACCATTGCTTGACACTTGACACTGGGTAGTACCATTGCTTGACACTTGACACTAGGTGATACCACTGCCTGACAGAGCTCGGAGATCGAGCTCTGGTGATACCACCGCCTGACAAGGGTGGTACCACCGCTGGTAGCATTAACTGACGATGGTACCAATGCCCAGATCACCTAAGGGACTGGGTCACCAATATAAAATCTCTCAATTCATTGTGAATCATAAAAATTGTAATTCCGAAAAATCATGATTCATTTAGGAAATTTTTCTCGTAAACGAAAAGAAGTTTCAAGTTATAAATCATGAGAAATCAAGATCATGATTTCGATAAAATCTATTAAATTTAAATCATTTTCATAATCCAAGAGATTCACAAAAGCATAATATACATGGATTCATTAATGAAAAATCACTAAGATAGAGATGGAAAATATATTCCTCCTTTTTTCCCTTTTTTATATATTTTATTTAAAGTTATTTATTTCATATAAGCATGCCTTTGTCGTATGAAAACCATACATCATGGTTTAAAATCAAAAGAGTAAATATCATCATGGAAATTATCAAGATCAATAAACCATAAATTACCCAAAAATCATCATTATTTCAACTCATCATGTATAATTTAAATATAAAATCATCAAGCATGATACTTACATTATTTCATATAAGCATGTCTTTTTTATTTATGCCAAATCAAAACATGTATCATTTTTAAAACCAAAATAGTAACTTTCATTATGGTAAAAATCGATAATCCATAAATCGCAAGAATCATCATGCATAATTTCAAAAGATAAACTCATTAAGCATGATTTCAAATCATCATTACATTATTAAAACATCTAGCATGAGTTAAGTCTAACATTTTGTCCCTTTATCATAACACATATAATTTTTATTATTTTCAAAATTACTAGAAAAAGAAAAGCATAATCCCCTTTTATTTATTTCTTTTTTGTATTTTATATACTAATTTAAAAACAACATATGAAATGCATCAAGTAATTTCAAAATAAATTAAGGACATTTTGATTACCTCATCGTCGAAAGCCATTAAGACGTAGTTTGCCATCTCACCTTTGTTGATTCTCCTCATCTTCGGATGAGCTCGATTTATCCCAAAGTGGTTCCCTCTTCTTGCGTTCATAGCAAGTAGGTGCGTTCTTTTTGTTCTTTAATTTTTGTTTTATGGACTTTTTAAATTTCATAGTGAGGAGTTCAATTTCATCATCACTTAAGCTTATGCTCGAGTGGTCTTCAATTGTTCTAAGTCCAAAATCTTTCCTGTTCTTTGGAAGGTTGTCCTCAAGTTCATTTTGTGCATTGTGCACCATTTCATATGTCATTAATGAACCAAAAAATTCTTCAAGTGAAAAATTATTAAGATTTTTTACCTCTTGTATTGCGGTTACTTTCGGATCCCAACTCTTATTAAGAGAACGTAAAATTTTGTTTATAAGTTTAAAATCTGAAAAACTTCTACCAAGTGCTTTTAAACCATTGACGACATCTGTAAAATGGGTGTACATGTCAACAATGGTTTCGCTTGGCTTCATTTGAAAAAGTTTAAAATCATGCATTAAAAGATTTATCTTAGAATCTTTTACTCTACTAGTGCATTCGTGTATGATTTCGAGAGTGTGCCATATATCGAAAGTCGTTTCGCACATAGAAATTCGATTGAATTTGTTTTTGTCTAAGGCACAAAATAGAGCGTTTATAGCTTTAGCATTTAAAGAAAAAGTCTTCTTCCTCATTTGAGTTTTCCAATATGTGTAGTCCATCCCATTGAACAAGGGAGGACGAATCAGAGAGTGACCCTCTTGAAAGCCAAAAAGAGCCATTTCTCTTGTGTGTTAAACCAAATGAGAAATCATGAGGCTCTGATACCAACTGTTAGAAATGAGTTGGCACTAAGACGGGAGGTTAAATTAGTGTAGCTGAAAAATGTTAGTTCAAAAAATGTTTCATACAATAAAAACCGAGCTCGGAAGATAACTTGAAATTCAATGCTTGTTCGTAAGCGTAGGCATAGTAAAAGCACAGTAAGGAGGAAAGGCAGTTTGTTATAAATGTAAATTGCAAGAAGGAAACGAAAACTAGATTTTTGTAGTGGTTCGGTCGTTGTGACCTACATCCACTCCACTGATTCCTCTTCCGTTGAGGCCACTGATATCCACTATCGGTCTTCATTCAATAGGCGAAGACCAACCACCTTTTACAACTTGATTCTCCTTTTACCGGGTTTAGGAGATAACCCTTTCACCCCCGCTTACTCTTCTCTCAAATTATTCGAACACTTAGAACTTTAAGAGGAGTTTCACACACAATTGCAATGGAGTTTTCTTTCTTTTTTGCTCCCAGTTGTGTGCAGTTTAACTAGGGATGAGGGGGTATTTATAGGCTTCAAGTTGATTCAAACTTGGAGCCTAAAAAGGTCTCATCCTAGGTTTCCTAGTTATGGGCGGTCCCACCACCTGTGCTGGGCGGTACCACCGTCAATGTCAGTCTAACATTAGGTGGTACCATCGCCTGATATAGGTGGTACCACCGCTTGGTACCCTGCCACTGGGTAGTACCACCACCTGAAGCCTCTCAGAGACTGTGTTTGGGCAATACCATCGCCCAGACTAGCGGTACCACCACCTGACACAGTCTTGGAGACTGTGCCACAACGATGTCACCTCTTAGGTCACTATTTGGGCCTTTTCATTGGGCCTAACACAGTTCATACATGGGCCCAACTGGCCCCTAATTGGGTTGGCCTAATTTCAATCCCAATTATGTGCTAAGTACGAATTCTAAGACATTTACTAAGCTAAACAAGTCCCTAAGTCTAGTTTCTTCTAGCGAGCTTCCGGTAATTCTGTTGAATCTCGGATTTTGATGATAAAATCAATTGATGGGTTAATTGACCTAATCCATATTATTGAGTTAAGTGTGCAGGATTAACTATGATAACCAGAAAACATAAAGCAAGAATACCGGAGTCAAGTTCGATGGACGTTTAAGAGTCCGAAGAATCGTCGGAGATGCTGCCGGAACCAACCGAGAAGAAATCGGGAACCTGTCGAAATTTTCGGAAGTTCGCCGAAGAGATCGTCGGAGGTTTGCGGAGATCACCGAGAAGTCTCGGCAACTCGTTGAAGTCATCACAAGATCGGGAGCTTGTTGGGAGTCCGTTGGAAGAAGTTCGTCGGAAAGCTCGTCGGAACAAGACTCGATGTTC